TTTGACTGATAGTGCTGAGGGTGACTGTTACCTGAGTGTCCCGCCCGACCCGGGCATTGAGGCTGCTGCTCTAGGTGCTAGTGCGTTTGCTGCTCCAGGTACTGGTGAGTCTGCTGCTCCAGGTGCTGGTGAGTCTGCTCTCTCTGGTAATGCACCTACTGAGGCCTTGCACACTTTCACACTTGACTCTGGTGCTTCGCGCTCTTTCTTTCGAGACAGCACCACGCTCACGCCGCTTAGTCGGCCTGTCGCAGTCTCCCTGGCTGACCCCTCTGGGGGCCCAGCCCTTGCGCACTCTTCCACGGTTCTACCGTGTCCTGCGGCCCCGTCGGGCTTGCTGTCGGGACTCCACCTCCCCTCGTTCTCTACGAACCTGGTGAGGGGAGCTGACCTCCAGGACGCGTGGGTTGACCAGTTCACCCCTGGAGGTCAGCGTGTGACCCACTGCACTTGCTCTCGGACGGGCCGCCACCTGGCCACGTTCACCCGTCGGCCTGGGTCGAGTCTCTACACACTGACTACTGCGCCCCCTCCGGTCTCTGCGTCTAGTCAGGTAGCCGCGTCTAGTCAGGTGTTTGCTGCTGCGTCCAGGTCTAGTCCTGTGTCTTCCCCCTGCTCGTGTCGTCCTCTGACGCTTGAGACTCTCCTGTGGCACCACCGCCTTGGTCACCCCTCCCTGCCTCGTCTTCGAGGTATGGCCTCCCGTACCGTTGTCTCGGGTCTCCCCCGGTGCCTTCCTCCCCTTCCTCCGGGGCCTGCCCCCACCTGTGTTCCTTGTGTCGAGGGCTCGCAGCGCGCCGCTCCTCACTCCTCCTCGTTCCCTCCGACCGAGGCTCCCCTGCAGACTCTTCACATGGACGTGTGGGGCCCAGCCCGCGTCCGTGGACAGGGTCACGGGCGTTACTTCTTGCTGGTAGTTGACGACTACTCGCGTTACACCTCAGTCTTCCCCTTGCGCAGCAAGGGTGACGTCACTGAGGTGTTGATTGACTGGATCCGCGGTGCCCGTCGCCAGCTCAGCGATAGTTTCGGCTCGGACCTTCCTGTTCTGCGTCTGCACTCGGACAGAGGTGGTGAGTTTTCCTCCGACCTCCTGAGGGCCTTCTGTCGTGCGAAGGACATCCGCCAGACGTTCACGCTTCCGGCCTCCCCACAGCAAAATGGGATTGCTGAGCGCCGCATTGGCATGGTCATGGACGTCGCTCGTACGTCCATGATCCATGCGGCTGCTCCCCATTTTCTGTGGCCGTTCGTGGTTCAGTACGCTGCGCATCAGATCAACCTTCAGCCTCGTGTCTCCTTGCCGGAGACCACACCTACTCTGAGGTGGACGGGGAAGGTTGGCGATGCGTCCGCGTTCTGTGTCTGGGGATCTCGAGCTTTTGTCCGCGATAGTTCAGCGGACAAGCTGTCCTCCCGTGCCGTTCCCTGTGTCTTCCTTGGCTTCCCCCCTGACGCACCTGGGTGGCAGTTTTACCACCCCACCTCGCGTCGTGTTCTGTCCTCTCAGGACGTCACGTTTGACGAGTCGGTGTCTTACTACCGTCTCTTTCCCTACCGCGCTGCCTCTCTCCCCCCCCCCGCCACTCTTCCTAGCACCAGGTACTCCTCCGGTAGACCCCCTCCGCCCTCAGGGTCCTGCCCCCTCAGGTGTGTCTCAAGTAGACCCTGCTGAGCCGGTCGAGGTAGTTGTCGACTCAGGTGCTGCTACGGGTGCTGAGCCTTTGGGTGCGGGGCCTGGGGGTGCTGAGCCTGAGTGTGTGGAGCCTGGGGGTGCTGAGCCTGAGCGTGTGGAGCCTGGGGGTGCTGTGTCTGGGGGTGCTCAGTCTGGAGGTTCTCCGGGTGTCCCGTTGCGGCGGGAGCCCCTCTCTCCGCAGCGGCTTCGTGAGTGGTACGCTCGGCGCTGTCGCCGTGCTACTGGTGCTACTGGTGCTGGAGCTGCTGGAGGTGCTGCTGGTGCTGGAGCTACTGGAGCTGCTGGAGGTGCTGCTGGTGCTGGAGCTCCTGGAGGTGCTGCTGGTACTGGTGCTGCTGGAGGTGCTGCTGGAGCTGCTGGAGGTGCTACTGGTGCTGGTGCTGCTGGAGGTGCTGCTGGTGCTGGAGCTACTGGAGGTGTTGCTGGTGCTGGTGCTGCTGGAGGTGCTGCTGGTGCAGGAGCCGCTGATCCTGGCGGTGCTCGTCCTGGAGGTACTGGAGCTACTTTGGCTGGTGGTACTGCAGGCATTGGAGCTGCAGGGTACTGGTGCTGTCTCTTCTGTTTCTGGAGGCACTGCGCGGCCGCGGCCGTACTACGTTCCGCTCCTTCAGCAGGTTCTTGGTCTACGGCCTTCTCCTGGTCCTACTCCTCCGTTACTGAGTCCACCGCCTGTCCAGTCACAGTCGCAGTTACAGCCGTCCTCTCCACTGCCTGGTCCTTCTCCTTACTCTGGACCGACTAGAGGTCTTACGGAGCGTCGTGAGCCTGAGTCGCGTCCTGTGTCGCCTGTGTCTTGTGCTGAGTCGCCTGTCCGCCCTGCTCGCACTGGTCGTGTGTTGCGTCCGCGTCCTCCTCCTGTCCCTGGCACTCACTCTATGACACTGCGTCCTTCCACTGCTCCACAGCGTGTCCCTCTGCCCTCTCCTCCTGCGTCCTCTCTTCCTGTCGGTCCGGACCCGGAGTCTGACTCCCTTCGTGCTGCTAGTCATACTATCATGCGCTTCCTGGCCACTGCTGTCACTGACCCTCTGTTTGAGTCCTCTGCTGCGTCTGCTCTAGTTGCTGAGCTTGTTGACTTTGCTGCAGCCTGTCGCCTAGACTTCGCCACTAGTCTTGTTGCTGAGTCTGCGTCTGCGTCTGTCTGTCCTCCGTCCGTCGGGGGTGAGTGTGCTCTTGGCACGGACGTTCTTGAGGATAGACGGGAGGATTTTGAGTGCTTTGCCGCTGCTGTACCTCATCTCGTGTCCATGCTGCTTGCCCCTGAGGGAGACCCGGATGCACCAGACATCCCGACCCCGCGCTCTTACGCAGAGGCGATAGAGGGTCCCTACTCCTCTCAGTGGCAGGCAGCCATGGACGCCGAGATGGCTTCCTGGAAGTCCACAGGCACCTACACAGACGAGGTTCCCCCACCTGGGGCGAACATCGTCAGTGGCATGTGGATCTTCAGGGTGAAGCGGCCGCCGGGTTCTCCGCCTGTCTTCAAGGCGCGTTACGTTGCACGTGGCTTCAGTCAGCGACAGGGAGTTGACTTCTTTCAGACCTTCTCCCCTACCCCGAAGATGACCACTCTTCGGGTATTGCTGCACGTTGCTGCTCAGCGTGACTACGAGCTCCACTCGCTTGACTTCAGCACAGCTTTCCTACAGGGCAGCCTACACGAGGAGATCTGGCTGCGCTGCCCACCTGGCTTCACTGGGTCGTTTCCTGCTGGTACCCAGTGGAGCCTCCGGCGGCCAGTCTACGGTCTCCGCCAGGCACCCCGTGAGTGGCACGACTCTTGCTACTCTTGGTTTTGCTCCTTCCACTGCTGACCCTTCACTGTTTTTACGCACTGACACCACTCTTCCGCCGTTCTACGTTCTCGTGTACGTAGACGACCCCGTCTTTGCTACTGCTGACACTGAGGCACTCGCCCACGTGAAGTCCGAGCTGCAGAAGAGACACACGTGCACAGACCTAGGTGAACTGACAAGCTATCTTGGCTTGCGGATCACCCGGGACAGAGCACAGCGCACCATTACCTTGACTCAGTCACACATGGTGCAGCAGGTCCTTCAGCGCTTCGGCTTCACGTACTCCTCGCCACAGTCCACTCCTCTGCCTACTGGTCACTCGCTCTCAGCTCCACCTTCGGACGAGTCCGTAGAGCCGAGTGGCCCGTATCCAGAGCTTGTGAGCTGCCTCATGTACCTGATGACTTGCACACGACCTGACCTTGCATACCCTCTCAGCCTTCTGGCTCGCTACGTGGCTCCCGGTCGACACCGAAAGGTGCACTGGGATGCTGCGAAGAGGGTGTTGCGCTACTTGTGCAGTACGTCGGGGATGGGGCTCGTGCTTGGAGGACGGGCTCGAGTTGTCCTCACTGGTCACGCAGACGCTTCCTGGGTTGACGACTTGGCTGCGCAGCGGTCGTCACAGGGTTACACCTTCAGTCTTGGTTCCGGTTCTGTCTCTTGGCGGTCTACCCGCTCTTCTTCTGTTCTCAGCTCCAGTTGTGAGGCTGAGATCTACACTGGGGCCATGGCTGCACAGGAATTACGCTGGCTCACCTACCTGCTGACCGACTTGGGAGAGGCGCCTCGTTCTCCTCCAGTTCTGTACGTCGACAAGAAGGCCATGCTGGCCTTGTGTCAGGAGCACAGACTGGAGCACAGAACGAAGCACATTGCTCTGCGCTACTTCCTTGCTCGAGAGTTGCAGCAGCGTGGCCAGCTTCGTCTTGCTTACGTGGCCTCACAGGCCAACACTGCTGATGTTTTCACCAAGGCACTTCAGCCTTGTGATCATCAGCGTTTCTGTACTGTTCTAGGCCTTGTACCTACTGTGCCTCACTTGCTTACTTCTTGACTCTGCTTGTACTGTACTCTTTATACATATACCTGCATGCTTACACTTGCTAGGTTGTGTTCACTGTATTGTTTGTTTTCCTTTATATAACTGTGCATGTGAACTGGCCTTGTGGCCATTTGCTTGTGCTCAGACTGCGTGGTGACTTTGTGATCCACCCTGAGCTTGCTTTGCCTTTCTTGACTGGTCTTGTGACCTCTTGTTCTCCCCCACTTTGCCTATGGGGGTGTGTCAAACTTATATGCTATAGTCTGTTTAGGCTATAGTGGGGTAGTTCTTATAGGGTACAACACTTTTATGTTTTCTACTTGTACCCACCTGCTTTCTAGTTCATTCATTCGCTCACATTCTAACATTCCCTTGACCACTCGTCGGCCATGACGCCCTTGCAGGGGTTTTTTGTGTGTGTGTGTGTGTGTGTTTTTTTTTTTTTTTTTTTTTTGAGGTTGCCTTACAACGAGATCGGCGCATGTGCGTCACTTGGTCCCACAACATTGTTCATCACGATGTCTTCGTGGCCTCTCTCTCTCTCTCTCTCTCTCTCTCTCTCTCTCTCTCTCTCTCTCTCTCTCTCTCTCTCTCTCTCTCTCTCTCCCTCTCTCTCTCTCACTCTCACTCTCACTCGCTCTCTCTCTCTCTCTCTCTCTCTCTCTCTCTCTCTCTCTCTCTCTCTCTCTCTCTCTCTCTCCTTCTTTCTCTCTCTCTCTTTCTCTCTCTCTATCTCCCTCGCTCTTTGTCTCTCTCTCTCTCCCTTGCTTGCTCGTTCCCTCCCTCTCTCTCTCCCTCTCTCTCTCTCTCTCTCTCTCTCTCTCTCTCTCTCTCTCTCTCTCTCCCCCTTTCTTCCTCTCTGTCTCCCTCTCTCTCTCTCTCTCTCTCTCTCTCTCTCTCTCTCTCTCTCTCTCTCTCTCTCTCTCTCTCTCTCTCTCTCCCTCTCTCTTTCTCCCTCTTTCTCTCTCTTCCTCTCTCTCTTTCTCTCCTCTCCCTCATTCCGTGTGTGTGTGTGTGTGTTTTTTTTTCTTTTTTTTTCTTCTTCTTCTTCTCTCGGTCCTTGCCTCGTAATTCACCCTTGGCCAATTCTTCCTCCATGGCTGCCTTCCTCCAAAGGGGGCTGGCTTTTTGACTTGCCGTTCCATCCGTCCTCCCTCCTCTTGTTGTCTCTCTTTCTCTCTCCCACCCCCCCCCCCCCCCTTTTTTTTTTTTTTTGATAACAATATTCTTTTATGAATCCACACAACGGCATACAAGCCTAGGCCTACACCATAACCAGCCCCTACGGCTGCCATTTTGTCCTGGCCCTCATGGCCTATGCAACTCTCCAAGGCTCCTAACCAGCCTACGCACCACTGGTGCATCCACCTACGCCCCCCGGCGCAGTGGCAAGGGGCGCCGCCCCATGGGTCCTCTCACACCACGGGTGCGGGACCTTGTGCTCCACGTCCTCCCATAGGGCAATTGTTCGTCATATGGCCGGGCTGGTCGCAACGAAAACACACTCCCTTGAAGCGGGGCTCGTGGCAGCCCGCGGGCGGCATGCCCTTTGCTTTTCGTTTCGCCGTCTCGAGGGGGAAGGCGGCCTCCGCGGGCGAAACCGGTGCGTGCACGCTTGAGGGCCGCCACGTCGGCTACCGCGAGCTTATAAGAGCGGGACGTGAGCACGCTCTTGGCTTGGTACAGCTGGAACCGATCCGCCGCCTCGAAGCCGGCCTCATCCGCCACCAAGAGCACCTCGAAACATTTGTTGATCAACGTTTCGACTTGCGCCACGTTGGAGAGCGCGCCCTCGACGTCGCCGTGTTGGAGCTTGAACTCGACGTGCCTCAGGTGAGCTTGAATTGCAGAGAACACCTCCGCCTGGTCACGCCACTCCCTTGCGCATGAAGGTAGTAGCTGCGGGTGTAGGGTTGAGGGAGGGGAGGGGGGGGTGCGGGTGCGAGAATGCGACGGCGAGCAAGGTTGTCGGGGGCCTCACCGTCTTCATTTTCCGAGTCGTCGCTGTCGTCGGGGATACGGGCTTGGGTTGGTGCCGGAGCCGGGGGGGGGGAGCAGGAGCAGCGTTGTTGGTGGCGAGCGACCTTGGTGGAGCGGGGGGGCGCGACAGGTTCCTTCTGCTTTTCAATTTTAGCGGAAGCAGAAATTTCTTCAGTCGATGTAGCTGTAGTCGATGGCGCGTGCTGCTGCAATAACGAGAGCAGCGCCTGCAGCTGCTGCGTAGTCAAAGGGGGGGGGGGGGGGGGGGGGGGCGCGTTGACCGGCGTGATGTCAGCGGAGGGTGCCGCGCGCTGGCGTTTCTGGGTCGTGGGCCCGGGTGGACCTGCGGTCACGCGGCGGTCAAGACGGCTGCCGCGTCAGTGGCGGTCAAGACGGCTGCCACGTCAGCGGCGGTCGTCTTCTTCTGCGTGGCACGCGCGCATGCCTGCCAGTCACGCGTTTTCTTAGGAGGGGTCCGAAGGGTGCCTCCGAGCAGGAGGTCGACCGCTGAAGGTCCCTCGCTTGAAATTTTCTTCGGCGGGGGCGTTTTCCGCGACGATCCGTTGTCCCGGCCGCGAGTCGAGGTTTCCGCCGCGTTACCGGGGCTTGAAATATTCGAGTTGTCGCGGTTAAGTGCCAGGTTGACTGGAGCCATCGTTGCGAGGTTGCGCTTCAAGGATGTCGTTAAGGAGCGTTGACCGGGGGCCGTGAAGCGCAGAACGACTGCGACTGAGTCTTCGCCAGTGTGGACGAGAACGAAATTATAACTACAATTTCGGAAATGAAAACGCGGGTGGGGACGAATGTCCCCACGTCCCTCTTTTGTAGGCAAAAGAGGGTGAGTAGTGTTTCGGCGCTACCTTTGCTGTGTTGGCCACCGTACCCCTTTTCACAATACAAAAATTTAGAAAGTGTTACATTTCATTACACTTTCAAAAATATCATAATACAGAAGTTAACTCTACATTTTCCAGCTATGGGACCACCTAGGATAACTAGTTGTTGGCACCTTCCTTCTCTGCCCTCTCATCTCCCCTCTTCGTCACCCCGACGCCTCCCTCCGCCCCTCTCTCCCCTCCATCACCCTTCACCTCCCTCACACCCCCTCCTCTCCCACCTCGTGCATGTCCCGGAGCAGCATGTGAGCGTACACGAGTTGGTTCCAGGTGTCGGGCACGCCCGGCAGGCACCAGTGCAGGCAGTCCTGGTGGGCGGCGTCCAGCAGGTACCCCCACTGGGACGGGTGTGCGTCGGGGCGGAACGACGACAGGTGCGACGTGTTGAGCAGGTGCAGGGACGGCAGCCCCGCCACCGCCTGCTCTGCTGCCGGTCGCGTGATGAGTTGAGCGGCAGCACGGCTGCCAGGGATAGGGGTTCCTGCAGAAACAAGGGGGAGCATGTTGGGACGTAAGAAATGAGTTCCACGAATAGTTGATGGTAATCATGAGGGAACTAGCCAAGTGAGGAAGGGCAGGAGGGCATAAGGGCACCAGCCCAGCATGAGGGGAGGGCAGGGAAAGGAGGTGTGTCTCACTCACACGTTTGTGGTCGCAGTGGCCGCGGGTGTTTCACTCGCCGTCAAAGAAGTGCCGCGCCGATGCCGTGCGCAGCAGCAGCAATGCGCCCTCCCCCCCCTCCGCACCCCCTTGCTGCTGCCACCGCCCTCTCTCTGCTGCACCTGCCCCACCCTCCCCACCGACGACTTCCCCTCCTCCTCCCTCGCCCCCTTGTGCCTCCTGTGCCTGCCCTGTAGCACCCTCGCCCTCTTCCCTCCCCATGGCTGCCACGTGGCGGTGCAGCCAGGCCATGGTGGAGCGCAGGGCGATGCGTTGCAGCGCGTGCATGATTGCCGCTGCTGCCCTCTATGCGCACCCTGCTGCCCTCTATGCGCACCCTGCTGCCCCCAGTGGCCGCCTCACTGCTCTCGCCCTCACTGCTGCTGCTGCTGCTGCTGCTGCTGCTGCTGCTGCTGCTGCTGCTGCTGCTGCTGCTGCTGCTGCTGCTGCTGCTGCTGCTGCTGCTGCTGCTGCTGCTGCTGCTGCTGCTGCTGCTGCTGCTGCTGCTGCTGCTGTTGTCTGTGTGGTGTGCGTGTGGCAGCGGTGGCGCATTGACACGCACGTCAAGGAGCAGCTGAGGGTCATCGATGTTCACGGGCTGCCTGCTATGTGCACGTCCCACTTGCTCTCGCGCACCTTGCCCTGGTGTTGTGGTGTGCCATGGCGTGTGGCAGGGTTGCAGGGGGGATTGAGCTTCGTGTGATGCTGCCGTGGCATGCCATGTGTTCATCAACGGGCAAAGTATCATGCGCAACTCCCATTCCTCGCCATCTCACGCCACACCCCCACCTGCTCCAGTGGTGAGCACT